TGTAACTATGTTTCAATCTTTTAAAGCTAATTTTTGATCAGTGTCAAAATGAGATCAGAATAAATCACATTAAAAAAAACCCTGTGCTAAATAGATGTTATGCATGTTAGGTGAATGTCATTACATGTACATTAATGTGTTTGGTTTTTGCAGAAAATTGAAAAAAATGTATGAATACTAAGTAGAACAATAAACGTGTGGTTGCCGACAGTTCAACAGAACACCATTTAGAACATGTATCATTCTATTGGTATTTGTCAAAGATAATATGCAATCAATACTTTTTATTTCACTTTTGTTGGACCAAAAATGAAATACTTTTGTCTTCATTACATGACAGTGTCAGACCTTGCAGTTCTTGAGTATAAATCGGCTTGTTTTACCCAAAAGCCATGCAGTTGTTGGCTCGCACATTTAATTAGTCATGTTGTTTAGTATGGTCACAATTACTAAAAACAGCAGTGCTGTCATTCCTCTTGTGTTTCCACTGCTCCACTGATCTGCTGGATACCACATGTGTTAAGGAGTAACAAACTGAACATCCTGATGTCACCTTTATCTTTATCCTATATTATGGGATGAAGTCAGTAGCAAGTCAGGGACCTATTATCAGTTTTTATTCAAGGTAACCATTTTTTTTTACATCAGCAGTCTGACGTGAAGAGAGAGAGAACACAGCGGAGCGCCCCGACCGGTCTGAAAACCAGCTGATAATCTTCCTGCGGCTCTATTGGCTGTAAACAGTCATTAACCAGTGAACTGTCTAAGCCTGGCTCCAGCAGCACCACAGCAAACCCTGCATTAAGATGGCATGAGGCTGACGCTGTCATTTTCTACAGTTATGTGTGTGTAATTCAGCAGCACATGCCTTTATTATGACTTAGGGCAAACCCTACAGAAACCATGATAATGTCTTCTATACTACACTATGCATTTATTTATATATTAACCATAATGACTTGTTGAGGAAAACTATTTTCTGCTTCAAGCAAACATCAGCTGGTAATCACTCTGTTTATGTAACCCGTATGCAAAACAATACACAAAAGAATGTTTTACTGTACACTGGAGATTTCTATCAATTTACCAGGCATCAATCAATGGGTAGAAAAAACACCCACAAACAGCCACTATGCCCATATCTGTAGGGTGTTGGGTTTTTCTTTTTTTGAGGGGAGGGACCGACAGAGAGAAAGAGGAAAGAGGAAGAGAAAGATGTAAACATGTGTCTGTGCCTTTAAGAGTCCCCAGGCCAGGGCCCAGTGTTGGGAAAGTCGCCCAATGGCTTTCTCATGACCCCTGAGAGGAGGCCGTCTTCCTCCTGCGTCCACGGATGGAGCAGAGACATCGGAGAGAGCAGGGGACAACCCACAGCTGAGAGACACAGCTCCTCCTCATCTAATGGTGGCTCTCGCTGTGAGGATACGCATTTAAATATGAATGTGTGTTTATATTTAAGAATAGTCTGTGAATGTGGAGCGACCCTCTAATAGTTAGCCTCTTTAGCCTCCTCCTCTTGATCTTTGGAGGTCAAAGCAGCATTTTAAATATGCAGCTTATACTACGCTGCTCTACATCCTTTAATCATAGCATTAATCCTGTAATTATGACTTTAATTAGGGTATTATCATTAGATTAGGGTGTTTACATGACCCCCATCCTAATCAGAAACTAAGATGACGTAAAGATGTACATGGTGGCTCTGTTTAAAGTGACTGTTCCCACTTCTTAGCACTGTCATACAGTGGTTTGGCGGTTAGCTAAAACATTGATGGTTCTGTGGGGGGGCAACAGCAAGAAGAGTGTATGATAGTACCACCCGTGATAGTGTTGAAGCAAATACTGTGCTGTCATTTGAGCCGGGTTCAACAGGAATGTGTTTTGTTTTCAATAGTATCATTTAAATGTTTTACTGTTACTGAAACAAATCACAATGCTGTTATTGCTATTTGTATTTATTTTGTTTTTTTTTTTAAAGGGGCAGGTCACATAAGATTGTATTCTTCTCCCTGCTCCTTTTCGCTCAATGGTGTTTTGGTAGAGTCATGTTTTGTTGGAAATTATTGTACATTTGGTTTTGCGTACCATGAGCGGGACAAATGAAAATGAAAATTGTATGGGTTTCTGTGCACTATAACTTCATATTGTACTAAACATTTTGAAATCTTGATCACTCTCTTCATCTCGTTTGTCCCGCATTAAATGTGCCCCCCTCATAAAATAACAGGCCCCAGCACGCCCCCTCGCCCCCAGTACAATTGTTCTAGAATCAACACTGAGCTACAGGACTCTTGCTTTTATGAGTTTGTATCTTCATGGATGGCATTGGATAAAAGTAACAGCTAAATGAAATGTGATGTAACGCATAAATGTATTGTTTTAAAGAATTTTATTTAAAAAAATTGAGAAACATGTTAAGATTGTTCGCTCTGGACCTTTATCCATTGCTGTGATGTTGGACCCGCACTAATCTCCTGCAGGTTCTTGTTCTCCTGGGCCCTGTACAGAGTGTCAGTGGATGTTCATGGGATTACAAGAGGCACAGGCACATTTACACGTACTGACGATTGGACAGCAAACTGCCTCGCTGGGGAGGAAAAGTACACTGATGTATTTCTGTGTCATTACGTAGGAACTGATAAATCCCTCAATCTCCTTCCTCAAATCAAAATTGCACCAGTTGCTGGGAACACATCAGGAGGAGCGTCAGCCCGCTGTAATCCCGGCTAAAGTGGAAAGGGGCTTTGCTGCACATCCACTTGGTATTATTCTAAGAAATAGGCAATTAGAGATAAGGCAATAGTCGTAGGTTGGGCAAACTGCGTTCCATGGCCCTCCCTTTGCCAGTCTCAGGGGACATATTTTATATTTTGGGATAAAGTGTTGTCAGGGTAACAATAGGGAGTGAAACCAGAAACAAACCAATGTTGTCATATATTCATAAATAGAGTGTGAGAATGATAAGCTTTAAGGCATGGGGGGAGCATCAGGGCCCTAAATGGCCCCGTGTTAAAACAATACTAAAAATAACGCTTTCAACCCTCTAGTTCCCTACTCCAAATCACTGAGAATTGCCACAGAAAATCAGCAGTGGCAGCACAGATTTCTACCCCCCCACCCCATCCCATCCCAATGGAGCCTTTGAAGCTTGTATGGTTTGACCTTGTTAAATAAGTTAAGTCCATTGTGGGACACACCTGGAAAAAGAATGAAGATGTTCTTTTGCCAGCTGGTTTGTTCAGAATAGAAGAGTAATGGTACAGAAGATAAGGCACGGCTTACACACAGAGCCACCAACAACTGGCCTCTGATAAGCTGCAACAAATGTGTGCTCATGGAAATGCATTGTTAGACACGCACACGCACCCACGCACACACACACACACACACACACACACACACACACACACACACACACACACACACACACACACATGCAACAGATGCTGAGACGCTGACAGTTTAACAAATGTTTGCGTGACCTCTTCACCGACACCTGACAACGAGGCATCAGCCACTGCGCTCATTAGGAAATATATATCAAAGCTCCAGGGAGACATTAGGCTGAGAAGCTTCGCTCTTTTTCAACAAATCCAACTTAAGCTGGACAACAGCTCAAAGGTAAACAGTTTCACTCCAGTGGGAGCGACGCAGAGTGATTTGTTATGTGAAACGGAAACTCAAAAAAAGCACATTTAAAGAAACATTTAAACATTTTGGGAAAGTTTGCTTTCCTTTCTGTCACAGCTCGGACTCTACTGAAGCATCACAAAGCCATTGTTAAAGGAATAGTTCACCAAAAATAAAATTTAAATTCTAAATAGTGCTGATCTTCATCTGCTCTGAAGGTTTTCTTCTCGTATTTTGTTAAGGGGAGCAGACAGCACATCAAATGAAAGCTTATCTGTGACAGTGCGAACACAGTAAGACAGAACAAGTTTATAAGATACTTTCTGATAACTCCTGTGCACCATTATTCAAATGTATTGTCTCCATAGCGGGCTGATGGAAATCTGACACAACTATTGTTTAGCAATTTTCCTCCCATGAAGCCATATACGAATGCTTTGCAGCCTTTTGTATGTTTTTCCGCAGCCCAAAAAAATGCTTTTATTTTTTAGGTGCTGCAAAAACTCCATTCAGAGCGTTGACAGATGATCAATACAAACATTTGTAGTAAACCAAACTGGTCCAATTCAAAGTAGAACAACTAGGAAAGTCAGATGATGTCATTCAGCATGAAAACTAGCCATGTGCTTTTGTTTGTTGCAGGGAGAGTGTGTCATTTCAGAGCAATGGGCCGAGAATAACAGGCTGTCTGACAAAAAGGGGTTTTTGATCCAATAGGACAATTTTGTATTTGTATCTCCTGTAGTCCTCCCACACTGCTGTGAAATCATCCAGAGGTGGGAAGTAGTGGAGTACAAATACTTTGTTACTGTTCTTAAGTAAATGTCTCTGGTATCAGTACTTTACTCCACTACTTATTTTTCTGACGACTTTTTACTTTGACTTCTTGTATGTTGAACACAAATACCTGTACTTTCTACTTCTCACATTTTCCAAACAGGCTGGTTCCTTTAGTTTGAATGTGTGTTTGGTGGCGTGATCATTATTATTTAGAGTCATTGCGTGCCTATTGATTTGAACACGATCTGTGTATCCATCATTTCCTGGTCTTCTCTAAAGTTTAGAGAAGACCAGGAAATGATGGATACACAGATCGTGTTCAAATCAATAGGCACGCAATGACTCTAAATAATAATGATCACGCCACCAAACACACATNACACACACACACACACACACACACACACACACACACACACACACACACACACACACACACACACACACACACACACACACACACACACACAGAGAGTTATACTCGCTAGTGTAGCAGATGCAGCTGAGCGTTAAGAAGAGTAGAAGAAGAAGAGTGGTTACAGACCTCTAGTGTCCGCTGTGCTGATCCCACTCCACTCTCACCATCTCAGCTGGGTCAGGAGGATTCCCGCCGCTCTGTGGGACCGACCGGCTCCTCATATTTCCTCACCCCAAGTGTCCCTTACCTTCCGCGGCTGGCTCTGTGCTGGGCTCGGGGGGAGACACCTGCCAGACTGAGCCTGCGGCGGACAGAGTCACAGAGCCGGTGAAAGACACTAACAACCATGGAGCTCTCCAACACTTCCAGGAAACTTCCTCTTCTTGCACTCACCTTTCTGTGGGCGCTCTCAGGTCAGTGACAGCTCATTCCATAGCTCTCCTCAGCGTCAGAAGCACTAGACTGTATGAATTGCTGGGGGAATTGTGTTCCGTCACATTTTAGAGATAGAAATTACAATTTTGTAACTTCCAGGTGGACAACAAAAAGTACAGTTGCTCCATTTTAAAACGAACAGAGACAGAGACAGATAAATAAAACATTTATTAAAATATGTTAATACCAATAAGAAGTTAAAGTCAGACTGTGCAATACAAAGATAAAATAAAATAAAGATATGTGTTTAAATATATAAGAAGTCAAAGTAAAAGGATCAATACAATATGTAATACATTACAAATATTATTTAAACATAATACAGTGGTGTATAGTGTTTAGCTCTTGGGTCAGTGCCTGATGCTCCTTGTATGTTTTTCACCAAATAAAACACTTAATTAGCTAAATATGTCAAATATTTCATATAATACAGTTTTTTGGACATGTTGAATATATGCCATAAGGCTACATGCATTCAACAAATCTGACATTTTCCTTTGGTCTATCAGCAAGTCAAAGCTGAAGTCTATCTGAGAGTGTTTTCAGCATTGAATGCCCAAGTGTACTTATATTAATATCTCCAGACAGTCTATTCTTTAATACGTGGGGTGTATTCCTGTGATGAATGGTATTGAAATTATCTCGACATTATTCACCATGGCTTAATAACTAATGAGCAGATGACATCAGGCTGTGTTTCTGGGGGTTCTCTCTGTGTGTGTGCCGCAGGATGAAGCTCGATTTAAAGCTGGAACACCTGTTTGTTTTTCACAGGATTTGAAACAAGTGTGTTACACATGATTATGTCTTCCAGGGAATAATCCCTTTATAGCTGCTGTAACATTGGCTCAGCTGCCACTCTCTCTAGCAATGTATTAAACTCCTACTATGACTCATATATTACAGGCAGCCTACTTTCCCCATCAACTCTCTGATTAAAAAATTGGGGCACAGCACGGCTGTATGAGTATTTTGCAAATATTTTAAGGAAAGAGCAGTTTTAAATGATAAATCGGGTAAAAAAGTGTTTTCTTGAGGGGAGCATTTCACAGAAAAAGAATCCTGTCGTTTTTAAATCCTTGAGAGTTGTGCTTGGCTTTATGAGAGGCAGAAACTTGAAGTCAAATTTAGTCTCAGTCAACAGGCTGCATAACTTGAGGTCATATAAAGCCACATGCCTCTGATCTGACAGAAAAACATCCTTAAATAGCCACAACGGATTGCTGTAAATTCATATTCATCTGGTCTGTCATTCCTCTTTAACGGAAACTACATTTTTCATGGATGTCCAGATTTACGTCTCTAAAATTGACTTGGATGTAGACTTCTCTCACAAACTGTCCTGCGTCGATATAGGTGGAAAAAACTGAGATATCCATTGAAGTTAAGCTGCTCCAGGTGAGTGTGTGTTAGTTCATTCAGCCTGTGAGACAGCAGGAGCTTCACATGTTGACTGCTCTCATCTGAAGCCACTGTGTTATAGCGCTGTTGCCAAAACAATCACATGCGCTGACACGGTTAATCCCAGGCTGCCTGTTACTCAGAGGCAGGGCTGTTACCTGGGAAATGTTCCATTTACTAACATGCTTTAGACGCCTTAAGGCATTTCAAGGACTTATTGCTAGTAATGTCTCCTACCTGAGGTTTAACAGCAGGCTGTGATTCATGTCAGACAGGACAACAGGACAATACAACCACGGTGCTGACCTTGACCTCAACATTTGACTGGCCATCAATCGCCCTGCAGGTGTGTCCTGAAAACACTCAGTAGTCAGACACAGGGAGGAAACAGCCATGAATAGCAGCCTGTGGCAACAGGAAAGCTCCTTCAGCTCCTGATGGAGCCGAGTGCCTCAGAGCCGGAAGTGAGCAAACGTCCTCCAACGAACAAGACCTTTGGTGTTTCAGTCTGAAATCAGAGCAGTGGAGGAGGTTGGATGTTGACGTTAGACGAGAAAGAGCGGGATTTCGGTCAGATAAAAATAAAATATCTTCATGAAATTTAAAATGAAGACCTTACTGGAAAAACTGAAAGGTTGACTTTAATAAACAGATTTTTTAAATTAGGATATTTAAAAGCAATAACTTTAAGTTGAACCTACTATTTTTGTTAACATAATACATTTAATTTAGGTAGTTTGACTTTCTTACCTGTATACTACGTTTTTGAGAAGATTTTTGTTCTATATACGGTTTTAGTAATTATTCAAGTGAAATCACCATTTGATCATAAGCTTTGGAAGTGTGAGTAACTGCTGCATTTCCTAATCCTATACCATACATGTAATGTTTGGGGGTTAGTTGGTGTGACAAACAAGACATCTGATGATGCCCAAATGGGCTTTAGTATTTGTGATGTGCCATTTTCACTGCTTTCTGAACGCATTTAGACCCATAGGCTGTAGAAAATGTGGGGGGGTCTCAGAGACTTCATCATAGTTTTCTAAAGCTAAATGTGGTTGGCTCTATATCCCGTGAAACCTCATGTCTTTGTCATTATGTTACTAATCTCTTCTCCGTTTTATAACTATATAAATAACCCTAACCCTAATTTTTGTATCTCATGTATTGCTCCTCTGTGGACGTTTATTTTTTGTTTTGTTGTATTCATTTTGACGAAATGTGAACAGTCACTCCAAACAGAGGAGCTGCCACTTATATCAATACGTCAATCTAAGTTTGATTCCACTGGGGTCATGTAAATACCTTAATCTAATTATATTTCTTAATTAAAACCATATTCAGAGGATTAATGCTGTCATTAAAGGATGTGGAGCAGCGCAGTATTAGCTGCATATTTAAATTCCTGCTTTGACCTTTAAAGATCAAGTTAAGGCTATTTATCAGAGGTTTGCTCCAGATTCACACTTACTGCTATTTTGAAGTGTTCACACACATTCATATTGAAATGGTTGAAAGAGGCATATGAGTAACATAGCTAGTAGCTGGTTACTTGGATATGTGTTGAACTGTTGTTGCCACACTGAAAAAATTGATTCCTCGACTTTAATTTAATGTATTTAAGTTTCACATAAATGTATTATGGTTAGTTGAAAGTATATAATATAAAAAAATGAAGTTGAACCTAACGTTTTTTATTTAAACTTAATATGATTGTTTTCAAGTAACCTAATACAGTTATGTGAAATCTGTTGACATTATACATTTAATTTTATTTATTTATTTATAGAAGGACCATGCATACAAAAACATTAATCTCAGCAAAGAGAAGAGATGCAATATGCCAGATTATAGCTGATAGCTAATTTCCATCTGTGGTCCTCAAACAGGTTCATAACAATCAATAAAAATAATAACATTGCATGATCTCTATCAGTCAAACAATTTTAAAACCTGATTTAAGTACTGCTCAATAAATTAATACATAGTACACTTACATTATCTCGGTCACTCAAATAATTACAAAGCCTGATTTAAATACAGGTTACGAACATAATACTTAGTACACTTCAAATACACTTAAATAAAATAAAATATCTAAGATATGACAATACAGTTCAAATAAAAAAAACTTACAGTGTAATTAATGTTGGCATGACTGGTTGCTTAATATCATTTTTTTTGCACCATGGGAAAACGAGTTAAAATCAGTACAGGTTTTGAGTTCAACTGGAAGAGTATTCCAGTGCTTGATGGCCTTAAACGAAAATGCTGATTGTCCAAAGGCAGTGCGCCTCAGAGGGATGGTTAGATCTGCATTTGATGAAGATCTGGAGTTTCTGCAACTCTGCTCATGGCGAAACTGAAAAAAGCCCCTCAATGGTGGTGTTGTAGAATTGTGAATGATTCTGAATACCAATCGAACTCTGCACACGAGAACAAGACTATCAAAACTGAAAAGTTTGTATTTGGACACTATATTGCAATGATGGTGTTGTAATGACTTTCTATCCATAACTTTTAAGACTTGTTTATAAAATGTACACATGAATTAAAGTCAACGTTTCAGTATTTTCAGTGCATTTCAAGCTGAATTATTTGGACTGTTGTTGAGACAAACAAGATTGTGTCAGGCCGACTTGGGCTGTAGGAATCTGGGATGTGCAGTTTTTAAAGTCTTGACCCGTAGACTGTTTAAAACAGTCACCCATAGATGTATTAAGAGCTGTTGTGAAGCTCAATATGGGTGTGTCCAGCCGACACCATCTTCTCAGTCCTGACTCCGCCTAACTCCCGGCTGGACAAAAAGTTGGCCAATAGCTGGAGCTGAGGCGGGCAGGGTGACGCAACAGAGCAGACATGAGTGACCCACCTTTCAATCATAATGGCCACACCCTAATGATGCATAACTTTGAGCCTTATGATAATTTTTATTTGTGGTAAGAAAAATCACTACTCTGTACAGTTTTCGCAGATAGGGAAATAAGCTATAGAGATGTTTGTGTGTGTGTGTGTGTGTGTGTGTGTGTGTGTGTGTGTGTGTGTGTGTGTGTGTGTGTGTGTGTGTGTGCGCGTGTGTACGTACGTCGTCGTCGTCGTACGT